CCTATTGTTCATACAATTTTACCTAGAAGCCAAAACACCTACCAATGACATGGTAAATACCTTGCAACCACACAGAAGTCACTAAAATAAAATAAAGTGTTTGGGAAAAGACTATTAAATAGGGCCTACAGCCTTCATATATAATGAGATTAATGTTACCCCAGTATTTTTTATTAGTGTAAAGAAAACTCATAAAGAAGAAATCAACAATGATCAATTAAGCCAACAGAAAAAAATCTACTTTGAAAAAATTTAATAGAATTGCAGTATTTTTTAAAAGTTCATAAAGAAATGTTAAAACCATTCCACAAAGATACAGCACTTTTTAGTTTATAAGCAGTTTAATATTTCATTTTTCTGACAATTCAGTTAGGTAAAAAGCAAGGTTACCTACAGCCCTCAACAGATACAAGAGCAGGTATGGACCATGAGTGAAATCCCAAATCCTCTGCCTCAAGTCTTTTTTCACTATCCCACATTACACACTAATTTTCATACAGTCTAGGAATAGCAATATTTTTTATCTCCTTTGAACATTCTGCCTGGAAATCTACAAATTCTTTTATACCTCATCCTGTTAGGCAAGCAGAGCAGGGCATCAGTCTCTGTTTACAGAAGACTCAGTAAAATCATTCATCTTTCCAAAGATGACAAAACTAATAAAGACTAAAACTGCAGCATATCCAGAGGAGGATGACCAAACTCACAACTGGCCAGAAAAGTAAGTAATGTGAAGAGTGGCTAAAGGAATAGAGAGGAAAGTGACATACTTGCACACACACAAATGTTGTCATTAGACACGTGAAAGGCCATCATACAAGGAAATCAGACTTGTGCTATATGGCCCTAAAAGGTAAAAACAAAGGCAATTCAACATTCCTTCAACAAACATTTACTGGTTATCCACTCTGTTCCAGATGTTTCTGCTACATTAGGTATACAAAAGGTAAATAAGAGAAGTCCCAATCCTCAAGAGGTTCAGACAAGTTGAGGAGACAAGAAAATACGTAATACAAGATTTAAAGCTATGAGAACACGGAGAATAACAACTCTAACTCTCTCTGGGCAGGGGGATAGCAGAAAAAAATTCACTAAATGATGAATAGGAATTTCAGAAGCAGACAAGGTGGGAAGTGGCATTAACAGGAAGAAAGGACAAAAAAAAAAGAAGAAGAAGAAAGGACAGCTTGTCAAAGGCATGGGGACATGAAGCTCTGCAATAAACCAGAAGTGGTGGAACACCAGGTACACATTAGAGGTGCCAAAAGATGAGGCTTTAAATTTGGGGTGAGAGAGGCCAGTGGTAAAGAACACAAAAGGAAGGCTTCACAATCTTCAGGCCAAGGAGTTTAGACTCTAACACTCAAGCTGTGGAACACTAATAGGAGATTTTAAGTAGGAGGATGGCATGCTCAGAAAAGGACATAGGAAAACTCATTCCAGCAGGAAGACAGATGTCTGGAGGGTAACAGTGGAGATAGATGAATTACAAAGCCACTATTATTAGTCTAGGTGGGGATGATGATGAAAAGATTCAGATTCAAGAAATATCTAGGAGGTAAAAATCAAACAGAAGTATTGGCTATAGGAATGAGGGAATGGGGAGGGTCCAGGATGACTTCTAGATCTCAACTTGGGTGAATGGCACACAAAGATGCCCAAGACAGGTAATGCAGGAAGACAAGTCTATGCAATCATTCAAAAATGTGAAAGCCCAGGGCCAGGAACTGGTTTGTTATTGTCTAGAGAAAGGGGATGAGTGAAGGAGGAGGGAAGGGGAGCAAAAATGAGTTTACCTTTGGTCTTGGTTAAGTAAGGTGCCTATTCAGTGAAGCTACTGAATGGCACGTGAAGAAGAGTGGACTAGGAGAGTCATTAGCTTACATGCAGCAACTGAAGCCAAGACAGAAGGAGATCAACTTTGATGCCAACATTTAATAAGGGAATAAAAGAAAAACTTGAGTAACAACGAACTGAACACAAAAGTAAGAGACGAATTAACAGAGTGATGCTGAAAAAGGCAAGAGAAAAGGAAAAAGAAATCAAGAAGAGTGAGAAGGTCGAAAATTAAAGTTAAATGTGCTGCATAAAGCAAAGTTTATGGGCAGAAGTTATTCAAAATGGGAACAGACCACCTTGTGAGGTAACAAATCACATCATCAAGTAAATGATTCAGACAGATAGCGTCATCTATGTGGGATGATGACAAGAGGATTCTTCCCTTAAAGGAGAAATGCAGCTACAGTACACCTCTGAAGTCTAGAGCAAGGTTAGCCTCACCACCAGTAGGACATTTCATCAAACACATTTTTGCATTCTGACCAAGAATAGAATATTCGATTACTCTAGTAAAAGTTTTTTAAAAGGCTTCTACATATTTCATATAACTCATAAGCAACCAATACTGGATTTAAACTTCACTAATTCTGCTCTTGGCGTACAGGAAGTTGCTGGAAAAGTGTGGAAATAGCTCATCTGGTCTACTTTAAATTCAAACTGATTTCAACTGAGCTCTCAACACTGACTTCCCTACTTTCCCCGTTCTTGCATTTCAATTCTACCCCATCACCATTCCTTAACTCTCACTCTGATTAGAGAAGACTTGCACTGCACAGGCAGGCTGCTCTGTCCCGACTTCTTTCCCTAGGTCCCTACCCATCTTTTCAGAAATCTTCCCTTCCTTCCTTCCTTCCTAAAACCAGACAGTGTGCCTAATCATTTCCAACCCTCTACAGCTGACCATTTTCTATCACTCGTTCATCTCCCTCCTTTGTCCTCCTCAACGTCACCCTAAATTGGAAAACCACTCCATTTATCCCGCTATCCCACACCCTCATTTTCTCCCTTTTCTACCAAATACCTCCATCCCCCTACCACCTACTCACTGTAATCCCCCGCAGAAAGGTTTGAGTCTACCACTCTTCAAAAATAAAAAATTAAAACCACTGACAAGTGACATGGGATCTACTGACCACTTGTTTCAGTTGCCAGTTACTCAGTTCTCAATTCCCTCGATCTCTCTGCAGCTTATGACAGAACTGACCAGCCCCTTCTTATTGCAGAAATGAGAAATAAAGCAGGATGGCTTGTGCAAAGCACTCTGAACCAAGAGTCAGATCTGTGCTCAAGTCCCTACTAATACCACTAACTAGCTGTGAGCCTCCCCACCTCCAGTCCTCCTCACCCTTCGGATCTCACTTCTCAGACACCCTGACGCCCAGACTAGGTTAGGTCCTGGCAGTATACTTTCTCAAAACCCATTCTTCTACTTTCTAGCGCTTATCATCTTACTTACTTACTTAATTAGTAGTTAATGGCTATCTTCCTACCCACTCACCAGACTGGAAGCTCCATGAAGACAGGACACACATTTAAGCAATGCCTGCACCTTAACATCGCAAAATAAAAGCCCATCAACTGAATCAATGTTGAAATATATGTTTCAATCACTTCTAAGAGACTGCTTACATGACTTTTATTAACCTAATAAAATTATTTTATTTATTTACAAAATTACTGACAAAATTCTAAACTCCACCAATTACCTAAAACACGCATAATATGAATTACACATAAAAATAAGAGTAGGAAGGAATCTGTCTTTCCCAAATAGTTATATTTCTCTTGCCCATCCACAAGAATAGAAAGGCTGGATCAGTAAACCTACGTTTCAGGCCCAAAATGTGTATTCTAACCCAGGTACAGGCTCAGTGTGCAAGTGCAGGTTTGATACTAAAACACTGTTGTTTATATCGCTGTTTAGATAATGCCTATCGGTATTCAGGTTTAAAGCTTTTCTTTAACGTTGGCAAAAGCCATGAGCTAATAATACTCTGCAAGAAAATCAAAAGAAAGTTTAATCAGTTAAGTTACATTTGCAGTGTGATTTTAAGTATTATTCAGTATGAATCCAAAAAACAAGTAAAGGCTTGGCGATTAGAAGCTGCCACTGTGCCTGATCAGATGACGTTCAAATGCAAAAATTTCAGATCTCATACTAGTAGGTGAGAGTTTTGTCAAGTTTTACAATACACCACCTTGGTCAAACAATTTAAACAGATTGCATGTTAATTTGCCCTTCAACTGCTGAGTGTGTCCCGCTCAACTACACTGTAAGGTCTTCTCCAGGCAGGCTTGGCCCCCTTAAATAAATAGGGATGCAAGTAATCTCAATAATCTATGATATTTAAAAATAACACCTAAAAACAGTTTTTCAGACTAAATATATACATTCCACCTGGAAACATAAAGTACTTAAAATCCGATGCTTAGACAATTCCCTAGGTTAAGAGCAGTTACCAGGCTGTAAATAGAGTTGTAATCCCCAGGAAAGGAGAGGCATTTCATAACGGAAACACTAACAGATATAATCAGTTGGAGCGGTTCTCCAAGTCGCCCTCATCGTTAAGTCAACACCAGCGGTTGTGAGGGGGCAATTGTGCCCCTCAGACACCCTCACTCTTCCGCAGCCTCGGGGCTACAATCCCCGCACGATGTGTCCCTCGAGACCAGCCAGCGCTCCCCTGGGACCTCAGCTGGGAAATCCCTAGCCAGGGAATACGGAGTTCAAGCCCCCCTCCCCCTTCCTTTCCTGAAAATTAATGAATTGGCCGTGCGATTGTTTATTTAATGAGGTGTGTAGTGGCCTCTACTGGTGCTCGTGTGAGCACAAGAATGTCCCACTCTTACAAGTGGGATGAGCCTGGGGGAGGGGAGGAAGGCGAGGGGTGAACCTGCCTCCGGGTACAAAGCGCAGAACTAGACCCGGGAGCCCCCGACGCGCCCCCGCGGCCGCCCCTCCCCCGGCCGCGTCCCCGCCCGCCTACTTCACTCTCCACCTAGCGCGACCCCCTTTCTCTTTGGCAACCGGTGCCGAGGCAGAGAAGTTCCTGCACGTTTCCTCCAGGATCCTAAACAAAAACACCGCAGCCACCGGTACGGGTGCGGGTGCCGCGCCCCCGCCCCCACCCCGCGCCTCCCGGGCCCGCGCCCCCGCTTACCTGGGGACTGCGGCGGGGAGCCGCTCCTGGCTGCCGCGGCGGGCGCCGGGCGCCCGAGCAGCAGCAGGCAGCAGAGCCAGAAGGAGGAGGTGCTGAGGAGTCGCCGGGCTCCCCGCTCCGCCGCCATCTCTGCCCCGCGAGCGGCGGCAGCGGTGGCGGCGGCGGCAGCGGCAGCGCCGCGGAGCCCTCGCCTCCTTCCCTCCCGCGCGCCTCAGCCGGTCCCTCGCTGCAGGCTCGGCTCCCGCGGCCGCCGCCGCCACTGTTCCGCCCGGCCCGGCCCGCGCGGCCCCTCTCGCGGGAGGGGAGACTCGGGGGCGCCTCCCTCCTGCAGGGGGGCGGAGAGGGGAGGAGAGCAGAGAGGGGGGAGTCAGTACATTCCGGGCCGCGGTTGGGGGGGGTCGGTCTCCAGGTTCCAGGCGCCGCCACCCGCCGCCGACTCCGGCTCCACACACCAGTGCGAGGGGGGCGGAGACCGCAGGCGGCGGGGGTGGGGGGCGGGGGCCCGGAGCGCGCACACCCGCGCACGCGCAAGCGCGCGCCTCCCTCGCCCGCACCCCCTGGGCTCCGTGCGCGGCCCGCCCCCGCTCCAATCCCGGCTGCCGCCTCGCGGGCCGCGGCGGCGGGCCGCTCCCCTCCCCCCTCTCCCCGGAGCCGCGGACGGGAGCGGGGCGCGCGCGCCGGGCGCTGCTGCTGGCGTCAGGGAAACCCCGGAGAAGCGGATCCTCCTTCTCCTCCCCGCGGCAGCCCGCTCGCCGCAGCCCCTCGTCCCCGCGCGCCCCCGCCGCCTGCTCCTAGCCCCAGGGAGAAATCCACACACCCCCTTCTCACCTCCCCTGACGCCTCGGGCTGCGGAGATCTGGGGCGAGAAGCGCTCCGGGCTCAGGCTAGTCCGGGAGGCCGGAGCGGGAGCGCACCTCTCCTCAGCCTGGGCCCAGGGCCTCTATATAGGGCCTCAGAGGAAACCGAATGGCCTCCGGGAGGAAACCTGGGTGCGCAGAGGGTCGGCGCGGGGCTTTATGTGCTCGCCAAAAACAATAGCGATCCCGCCCGGCTCTTGCTGGGACCTGGCGCGGCTCCCGTGGGAGGGGGCCCACCGCGCCGCCGCTGACCAGCTTCCAGGCCGGGCCGCCCTCGCCGCGCGCTTCCCGGGACAGGGCCGGGGCCCGCCCGGACCTCCGGGCCCGCGCCTCCACCCGCGTCGCTCGGCCCGGGTCCAGGGAAGCAGGGCGCAGACAAAGGTGCCCGGTGTCCACTCCTCCAGCCCGAGCGGGGGCCGAGGCTGAGCCCCAGGGCTCCCCGGGGCTGATCCTCTGGCTGTAGCGAACCTTTTACCTATACCTCTGCGGAGCACTTCGCTCTCTCAAATCTGGAGATCACGTCTTTCGCCGGTAAACCGGGAGCGAGAGGAATGTGATTTTGAATACTTGGTCATCGTGAAGCAGTACCCAGGCTTCCCCAGAGTTGGGGGAAAGCAGTTCGTAGTTACACTGCTGATGGGAATACTGCTAATTTTATAAACTGCCCGCATGGAAAATTTAAGAAAATCTCTTTGTGTGGTTGTGCACTTCAAGAGTCATGTCTTGTTAATATGAGTTGGATTTTGGTTCACTGCTCTGAATAACCAAAATGTGTTGCTTCCCACGAGAAGATGGCTATTTCTCTTTCCACATCCCTACGTGCCTTCTCGTAATTACTTTCTTCAGCTATTTTCTTTTATTCTGACGTGCCAAAATAAGCAATGTAAGGCTTGCGTTAACATTAGGAGGGAAGAGCTCAGACTCCTCATAAAACCTCTTAGATCATCAAAACGGTGGAATTAGGAACCCTCATCCCAGTTCTTTGAAACAATTGACTCCTAAAAGAACAAACATGCTTATTGTTTTCCACCAGGGAAACAATTTAAATATCTTTTTGTTTTGGTTAGAATTGTTAACCAGCAAAAATATTTCCTAAATACCCCTGATTGACCTGTTAAATTAGAAATAGATTACCTCCCAATTACTTCACAAGTATTTGCTTAATTAACCTTTAATAATCACATCATGAATAATGTGATTATTCAGTTTTCTGAGCTAATTAATGAGAAAAACGCTTTGGAAGCTATAAATTGCCTCGCAAATGTTAATTTTCAGGTATCTTTTCTAAGTCTGAAAATTTTTCCTTAGTAAAACTATAAAATGTATAATGTGACTTCTAAAATGAAGCTTAAATTTATCTCCAAGTTGAAGAAATATGTGTTGTGGCTAATAATCAGATTGATTTTCACGTATGACTTTGTGAACTGTGCCACTAATGTCTCAGCCCACAGTGTACATCAGGGTTAAGTCAAAAAGTTTAAAGCACTTTCTGTAAAATAGGGTGACTAAATCATGTATTTCTGACTTGTAATTAAATCACAATTTTAATTAAACCCACTCTAATAAGCCACTAATAGATGGAGCCCCAAATAAAAAGTTATAGATTCTGTATCAGTTCAAGAAAAGTAACCCCAGGCACACACTTGAATTCAGATTCCTCACCTTGTTGCAATGTAACTGACGTAGATATTCTCTTTAAAAATCAGCATTTGAATTCATTAACCTCTCTTCTCTTTACTAAGGCATCTCTGAGAGATTTTCTTAGGCATTTTCATCCTCCCAACAAGATTTTCAACTAATACTTCAATCCACGTTTACACTGCTAATCAACATATTTTATGTAGTCTAAACTATTAATCTACGGAGAGATATTAAGCCATTCGTGAAATTAACACTTTTTTCATCTAAGTTAGAACCTGAGGCCCATGTTCAAGGAGTAGAGCACAAAGAAAGTTTTAGAGCAAAGAAAACAGACTGGCCATTGTATGTTGGTATAAGTTATCAAAGTGCAGGCCAAAAATAACTAGACCAAATATTTTTGTGAAATTTATTCTAAGTGTACTTTGATATAAAAATTAAATGAAAAATTAATAAAGCCAATGAATATAAAACTTGGTAAGAATCTTATTCTCTGTAGTAAAAGGATTATTTTTCAACTTTAGAGAGGCAATATATTTTAGTGTTTAATTGCTGGCAGTAATTAGATTCTGTAGCTGATTCCCTGGCTGAATACCAGTATCCAAGGTAGCAAAGAAGAAAGCTAGCCCCCTGACTAGTAGATACAAGTATAGAACACTTCCTAGACACAGAAAATTTTAACTAGGAGTTATCCATGTCGTAGACACAAGATTTTCTCCTACACAGGTGTTGACATTTTTACATTCACCCTTTACGTTTCACTAGGTAAGAATTTTTATTTCTCCCTTTCTCCTCCCAAAGCCACCTGTTCTAGGGAGCCATCTCTGAAGTAAGCCTAATTAAGAAGGATATGTGCTCCTTAAGGACAAAGCCTACACAATATTAATTTTGCTCGTTACACGTTGCTTAATTAACCATATATCTGTAGTTCCACAACAACTTATTAATTCAACAAATATTATTAAAGACCTTTTGTTTGCCAGATATTGTGGTGGGTGCTGAGATAAAATTATTTGTTCATTCATTTAACATTTATAAAACACTGTGTCTTATGCTCTGCCCTGTGTTCAAGGAACGCAATGGTGAGCCAGATAGACAAGGTTCCCTGTCTAGCAGGAAAGATAAAGAGTTATAACAAAGAAGTGTGAAGAATGTTATGGTGAGGAGAGATAAGGAGTGTGGGAAACAGTAAGAGCATCTAACCTGACTAAATTGTTTGTGGGGGCAGAGGGAGGGTGGGGTTGGGGAATTAGGGAAGAAGCGTTGGTCTCTAAATTGAGCCAAATGGAAGAAAATGGGTAGGAGTTAGCTATCCTGCAGTGAGAATTGACGTCGGATTTGCATTTTAGAAGGATCACTAGGGGCGCCTGGGTGGCTCAGTCGTTAAGCGTCTGCCTTAGGCTCAGGTCATGGTCCCAGGGTCCTGGGATGGAGTCCCACATCGGGCTCCCTGCTCAGCAGGAGGCCTGCTTCTCCCTCTCCCACTCCCCCTGCTTGTGTTCCCTCTCTCACTGTCTCTCTGTCAAATAAATAAATAAAAATCTTAAAAAAAAAAGTCTTCTCCCCATACAAATTGTAATAATTCTGGTCTATCCCCAGCAATTTAATTTCTAAAAAAAAAAAAGAAGAAGAAGAAGGATCACTCAGGCTGCTTCATGAAGTGTAGGTTGGAAGGAGACAAGACCTACGAAACCAGTTTGGATTTTGTTAACAGTAGTCTGGGGAGGAGATAGTGGTGCCCTGGAGTAAAGCAGAGGGGGTTAAGAGAAGTGAGCAGATAAGAGAGAGATTTAGGTGATAGATAGAAGCAACAGAGGTGTGTGGGAGACTGGAGGCGAGTGAGACTCAGATTTCAGCTTGGGCATCGGAATGAAGGTGGTGACATTCACTGAGAGAGGAATTAGGAAGAGGAGCAGATGGGAGGAAATGTGAGCTTAACTTTGGACAAGTTTAATTTAAAGTGCCTAAGGGACATTTAAGTAGAAATATCAGTAAACTGTTTGTTATTTGGGTCTGGGGTTTAGCAGGGAGAATTGGGCTGGAGGTGAGTCATCAGCATATACCATCTATGCCTAAATATAAGGCGCCTCTGAGTACAGAGCATGCCCCATTTTCCCAAGTAAAATCCGCCCGCAATAAAACTTTGTAGCCAGCTTAAATATATGAACTTTTAGAGATGTAGATTAAATGATCAGAGATCTACACTGATAATGTTTAATATATTAACTTAATTATACTTACATACTTTAAACTATTAATGAAATATAATTTTTAAAACAATTTTCTAGAAACTCTTCACAGTGTTTTTATCATCACCAGAGTCACATTTTGAGTCTCTAACACAGTTTCCCAAGACAGATTATCTTTACTTCCACCTAAATTTTGACTTTATATATGACATTGTCACTGGGAATTTTTTTCCAGTCTTCAGTATCTAATCACACTACATCATTCATCCTATACCCATATTCACTTATATATTTTTTTCCATAATGACTCTTACGGGCTTGTTTACAAGCACATCCAACATTTGCAAATTTGAAGGCGTTTCCCTGGAATTAATTTCTAAATCTGTGTTTAATTTCCTTATTTCCTTTCTTACCCATTCTGTCAGGGGGCTTCTGTATGAACACTGAATGAGATTATTTCACACTAGTGCATATTCCCGCAAAGAGAACTGATGTTCGAAATAATTGAGAGAACATCCAGTAATATGAAGGACTTTTTTAAGGTCAGAATATAAGGTGACTCTCTCTCTTCTAAGGGATTTATTGGGGAGGGAAGC